TCTCTCCCTAGCTCCCCCCCCTCTCTCTTTCTTCCTGGATTACTAGATTAAATTGGATTGTTCTTTAAAAGGGAAATCTCAATTCTCTTCTATCTTCAAAAGCGTACGTCTTTCAGCTGTTAAAAAAGTGAGCGAAACGCTTTGAGAGAAAAGTGCAATATTTTATTTTTAATATGTTTCTATTTTGATTTTTCCCACTATATTATTAGAATATTGCTAAAAGAGATTTATGAGGATCTATTCTGAGATTAACGCATTTGAAAGCGCAGAAATTAGTTAATTACTGCTTATCGCTTAAACGGTCACGTTAAGGGGGACTGAATCAGATCGAATGATTACGTTGCTAAGATGGCTTTCCGACTAATGAGAAACTGTAGATTAGTATGTATCGCCTGCATGCGCGATTTGTCGATATGCAGCATGCTAATGCGTTTCTGCATGTAACCAGTACGCATCGTAATGTGACGTGACTTCAAAATCCCTTATGCTGATATTACACAAGCTATAGCGTGCATACGAGTTGCCATGGTGAACACGTATTATCTTTTGTTTTTAAGTATAGTTGAACGAAACCTTTCACAATTCACCGTTTTCTTTCAACTCTTTCGCCCTCCGTTGTTGATTTTTGCATCCTTACGAGTTGCCTGATCTCGTACACTCGAAAGACTTTATATATTTGCTACAAATCGCTGATAGATGATATTTAGCGAGCGTTTCTCAACAAATTTCAGAAACGAATATTTCTGCAATGGCTTTGCGAGTAACATAACATGACAAAACGGCAAAATTTAAATAGATATTTAATATTAAAATTGTTGATAAATATTCAATAGCTGTTTGCCATGACATCTTGAAGCTTAATCCTGTAGAATCTTACGAGAAACTCCGTATATAACATTCTTTCTGTTTTTCTCGCTGGCACGCGGTGTTGGCAGATTCCGTCATCCTATCGAAGTTTGTTGAGTGCGTGTGGTTCGAGAAAATCGAAGGGTCATTTTCCGATGTTGCTGTCTCTATCTTTCCGATCAGTGGCAGTAAATCCTGCGGCGTGATAAAGCTCACGCCAACAGTTCTAATTGTTTTTCCATTGTATACAAAGCACGCGTCCGCGACATGAGGCCCCATAGACACAAATTCTCTCTCTCTCTCTCTCTCTCTCTCTCTCTCTCTCTCTCTCTCTCTTTCTCTCTCTCTATTGAAGTACATGTTCATTTACCGAGAGAATTTCACGAGTACCCGATAATGAAAAGGCCGAAAGAACGCGTCGTATCATTAGCGACGTCGGGTCTAATTGTGAATTTGTATCGCGGCGTTGATATTACAATGCTGAGATAAAGATAAATTGTACTGACTAATTGTTGCCGTAAATATTTAATATCATCGCATGCGATGAGTGTCGTGCATTTTAAAATCGCGTGTACAAGCTGAACCGCCGTCGGGGATATAAAACGTGCATACGCGCTGTAAGCTGTAACGCATGCATTTACATACAAACTGCGGCATAGAGGTCGGGCGAATTCTCGCGCCTCGCTATGCCTTTTATTGGTAACTTTTCAAACTGGATGTGCAACTCAACAAAAGAAGAGAATCGATAGGAACATGGTCCATTAACGCCTCGAATGCACCAATTTTTTCCACGTGAGATACAAAACAACGAAACGCGGATACATTGCAGTTAAAAAAGTGTACAAATGTGTTACTGACATAAATTTTTACTACCGACATTACTATCGATTTTATTAGCCATAGATTTTTCACTAAAGAGATTGAATAAAGCTCAGAATCATTTCTTACTCGAAGGATGAAATGAGAATATTTTCACGACGACGGGAAATCGAAACCAGATCTAATAAAGCAGACTGCCGAATTATTTCGTTTTCGCACGCATGCGACGGACGATATAAACAGAGAGATGAAATAGCCTCCGCACTTGCCGCAGCCCGATTACGCACGTATCATTCGTTCGCGCGGGAATAGTGCTCTCGCCGTCGCGTCCGTGTGTCATGTGTGCATAATATAGCTGCAACGGGCGACGGCCCCGGGGCACGAAACCGCGGTGCTGCGGCGGCAAAGCCGTGGCCTACTATAGGATGCAAATGTATATTGGCATTATGTTGTTGAAAATTGCGCGACGTGGCTGGTAATCCGACATGCGAATCGACAGCGCGCTTCCAACTCCTTCGAGACACGGAATTCGCCAACGAATGATTCCCGATCATTGCGCTTGTATTGCGACCAGCGGCTTAGTATCGATCGCATACTTCGGTGAAGATTTTACTGAGTGACTATTGTCTCGCGTGCGTTTTTCACGAAATTGAAGTAACTTAGGTTCGTTTTGCTAGATGTTGCTTTATTTTCATGTTACGTTCAAACTGAGAGCAATTCTCGTTACAGATAAATAAAATTTCTAGTTAAACAGATTACCTTTCTCGTAAAGAGTGGAAGTCTTCAAAATCTGTCAAATGTATTTGTTGATTTAACGAATATTTTTCTCAAAAATATACATCGAATATATTTTGTAAACTATGGATTGTACTATTTGTTCGAGAGAATGTTTATGCACGTTTTGATTTCAATCCTCGTTTAATAACATTGCTGTGACGCAATTTTACGCAATTAGTTAATTGTTCAATTTTCTGAAAATAAAATTTTTATTTAGTTTATTTGCACTTTCCCTAAAAAAGTTGTCAGTTATCTTCAAATTCCTCATCAGCTACGTTTCACTTTATTCGACCAACGCGAACGTTTCCATATTTTGCGCATTTTTCACATTTGGCAAATTAATTGCGCAAGGCAAAACGCTCACTCCAGGGTAATGCAGTGCATAAGTTAATAATAAAAATATACAAGAAATTCTGACGAGAGATGAGCGATCTCTTTGTTCCGAGCGGAACGATAAATTGCGAATAACGTTCGATGCATGGCACGCGCGACATTTCAAAGGCTCTGGCTTTACCGTAAAGTGCAATGGCTGCGGGGGTGGCTTTGGCCATCTATTAAATCCTGCGCGCTCACTGATTCGGGCATTAAAACTTTAGGTCATCGAGCAACGTACGCCTATGGCAGTCCAGCTTGAAAGGGCTCGCTGTGCGAGGCATGAAAAGGGATAACTGTTGTATAATCATCAGTCGGACGGGGGAGGGGACAACTCGGCTCCATCCCTGGTCCATTTCATTTAATTGAATTCTAGTCACGTTCCCATCATTCTCCGTCATCAGCTTTCGGTAAACTAAGCTTTTTGCGATCCATTTAACAAATCGCCGCGACAGCAATTTGTATCGAAAATATTTTGCAACGTCGTTCACGCTATCGGCGTGATCATAAATATTTCTCACTCGCGCACCGTCTCGGATGAATTTAATCTTCTATTTCTCGAAATAGAGATATGTTTGATTTTAGAATTCGCATATGTAAGAATTTCATACATTCTGGGATCGCGATAAATATACCGGAAAATAATCCGAGAACTTATAACGCGTTGTATCGAAACGCGTGTCGAAATTGTACTTTATCCGTTTCGGCTTGTCGTTACAATGACGTTCAAGATTGGCCCGTGGCATGAAATAGAGAGCGGGCGTAACAGGACCTATTAAATGTCATTTAAATACCACGCTGCCACCTGAGCACTGCTCATGGTCATTTACCGTATGCCTGCCCGATAGTACGAAATGCAGACTACCGTGAAATTACCAGTGTACTAGCGAAGACTTGGCATTATATTTCAATTTTTCTACGTGAACGGTACGATGCATATGAGCCAGCGTGCATATAATTGTGCATCACGATGCCGACGCGTGTGTTAAGATAAATGCAGTCATACTGATATTTTCATCGGCTACCTTACACCTTACCTTACTTCCTTACTTCTGTGTTTAATGCAATCGCGATAAAACGACGCGTGTCGATGAAGCATTTAGCGCGGCTAACATTAATAAGATTTTTTTCGCTGCTTCGTATAAAATCCGAGTCGCGTTTGCGCATCGCGCATGCGATATCGCAGTCGCTAAATTCATTTCACCGTAAAAGCGTAATAAAAGAGTGCGATCTCATAAAGGGGTTTCCAGCTCATTCGTACGCGATAACGCTCGGGTGTAATTAAGCCATTGCATCCCGCTGCCTGATTAAAAGGATTAAAATACACCCCTCCATTTTGCGTTGCGTTATATTAATAGTAATCTACGAATGTCCCATCCGACATTACACGATTTGACAGGAGTTATCTCGCACGGCTTTAATGGAATTTGTTGATTAATATCCCTAGAATTAATACGGAAATATCGCGCTCGCTAAATTGCTTCGCTATTGCACGATCGAGTTTTTGTTATTGCATTCGACGACTATCAGCGTTGCAAATTCGATCGCGCTATGCGTTTCACAAGTGCATTTGTCATTACCCGCTCGTTTGTAGGACAGTTTTTAAAACTGGTTTCGATTTATTTTCAGATAGGACGGCTGTGTTATTCTATTGCTTCAATTTTTCATAAGCTTTTTTATGGAAATACAAAAAAAAAGGAATCATATTACGAATGAATGCGGTAGATATTATATAGCAAAATATTAATTATTTCGTAGAGTTATTAATTTATGGAATAATTAATGAACTTTCATATATATTGTACTATTCATATAGATTGTAAATTACCGTTTCACAGAGAATAACCAAAGATGGTTATTGCACGTATAATAACGATATTATTTACATTTATAGAATTGCTAATAAACTGCCACATATCTATTAATCTGCGGTAGCCATTATAATTTCTATAATATCACTATATGTAATTAACTTCAGAAACAAATATAGGACAAATTATATAAGAGTGAAATCCGATTGAATATATGAATGAAGGAAAAAGTCATTTTTGTATTGTGCCACGTTTCAGTTATTTCATTTATATTCTAAGCATACATCATATTGTTATATTTGATCCTCTTTCAGGTATATATTCTCCGTCCTTACGCTTATGGTATTTTTTATTTACCATTGTCTGCTACTTTCTTTCAATCTCCTTCTTCGATTTATTATTCGTCTCTTAAAAAATATGTGTGAAAAAGAAATAAACTACCTCACGTTCGGTCTTATAGTCGAAGAAAGAAACGGCTATGCTTTTCTATCTCACATATTATTTCATTGCGTAATGAAAAGCCTGAAAAAAGAGACATATTTTTCCAAAGTCACTGATAGTGGTCACACACACACATTGTAAAAAAATGTTTAAACATATAAATATTGCGAGTTTTGTTATTAAAAAATCGCACGAGGAGGCGGGGTGTTCTTTTTAACGCAACATATCGGGAAGTGGGAGATAAAGTACTTTGCTATTCGGGGAGGACTCGATCGTTCGGACGGCAAAATAACAGGCCCTGGCTAGCATGAGATTTTATGGGTATAGACGGGCACTCGATACGGTCCGTATTCCGCTCTACATATATGCATTCAAAAAGTGCCGCCCATAGTGGAAGTTACAACGCGTTGCCGAATGTGGGGGCATATTTTCAAACAAACCTTTTTTATAGACCGGCTGTACTGGTGAGTAATAAAACACTTCGGTACTTCCACATCAGGGTGGTTTGGGCCGTTTGATCCTGCGCATGTATTGTATGGGTTTGCCCTCGAATCGTTCAGTCAAATTCGCGTAACATCCTTAGAGAGGATCGCTGAAAAAATGCGACGTAGTATTAATGAAAAAAAATATTTACTCTATAAAAAATATATATTCTTCAAAGTAAAACATTCGACTATCTAATCAAATGACATTGGCCGTTTTGATCGATATATATAAGTTTTCGTGTAATTAATATACATATTTGTTCCATGTTTGATTACATGGAGAACGCAAGCTGAATACACAAGCGTTAACACATATTTACTATGCTATGCATCCATGTTGCAGAGGATGCAAAAGGAAATTGAAGACGAGATTGTCGATTCGTAAGGTAGATTAAAGAAATAAAACGAGTTTCTTCAGCAACGTGTACCGCGTTAAAAGCTCCGTATTGTATTTCTTATTTAAGCGGTCGAAGCGAGAAGCACGATGAGTGTGAAAACTCCGGACGGACGTGGAGGAGCGTCTTAAAAAAATCTTCGGAGAAAAGTACAGGAAAGGTAGAGTTTTCACGTGGTTTCCCGGGCACTTTCTTCTTTCCTGTCTGTTAGTCTACCGTCTTTACTCTTCCACCACGGAGAATGGTTTGCTTTTTCCACGTCACGGAATCGCCGCCGCGGAAAACGGTGTGCAGACCTTGCAGTTGTTGAATCTTCTGTGTTTGTACATTATCGCAGGAAGAAAGGGGAATATGGCTGCGTAAGATAGAACATGATACCTTACTTTAAATTATAATAAAATTATAATTAGAAATCTTGAATTTTATATATAAAATAATTTATTCTTCAAAAATGAAATTTGATAAAATAAAAATAAATCAATGGATATCATGTTGCTAAATGCGTATACCATAGTTAATAGTATATAGTATAGTTATATGAGCTTTTATTTTTATACGACTGTAAAATTTTTGTCTCGGAGTACAACTCATTTGTCTTCATTAATGTGTAGAGCAAATTTATTATATGTAGTATATATGACTAAAGTAAATTCAACTGAACAACTGAACTCAACTGAACGGATATACCCAATCTTCTTGCTTTAACGCGACACAACGCGTTCATCCAGGCATTTCCAAAACAACATACGATTTTTTGCATTCCAATGCTGTCTCTCTCTCTCTCTCTCTCTCTCTATCTCTTTCATATTCTCGTTTGCGAAAATGCAAATATCCATCACGCAAAGCGTCAGGCAATTACTCGGATTTAATAGTTCGTGAAAGTGTCGTTACGCCTGTTGTCATTCTATTCATCGACTGTGCTCGGACGGGTTCGTTGTATATTTCCATTGTTCATAGCAAAACGTCGACAATCGTGTGTTCAAATAAATAATGGGAATTGCTCACATTTGATGTAATTTGCACTTAAATTTCTTTAAATTCTGCAGTTTATATATTATAAATAATAGCGACGCGTTCTATATTTTTTAACTATTTTACACAATCTTTTTATGAGGCGTATTTGAGCTATTAGCTTTTACCAACTTAACGGTTGCAAAAATAGTTTCTTTGCAGACGACAGTTATCTTTCGGATAGAAAAACATTTATTACATTGCTCTTTCACTCAACAATGAATAACGAGATGATGTACTTCCAACGATACTTTTGTCCTTAAGTCACAATCAGGTTTATTCGACAAGAATATCGTCCTTCTTCTCGTACTCACTGACCAGTTGAGTTTCTTGGTCGTCGACTAAAAATCCGGAACTGTTTGTCTTCGGGGGCGTAGTGACCTCAAGATTTACGGAACCGACAAAAAAGTTAGCGTTCCAGACGGACAGAATAGTAACTCCGAGAGCCAGTTGTATCGATTCGCGCCGTCGAGCAAAATTCCGGCTGTCCGTCAACTGTTATCGAACGTTAGTAATCGCGGCAAGAATCGAGCGAGTTTTAAGTTGCCGTTGGCAAGAGACACGCGAATACATTCTGGATTAAATCGAGGACGAGGTCAAGGGTGAGTTTCAGCGGGGCTTGTCTTTAAAATCCGTCTGTAAATTTAGGTGGTACCACCTTCTGTGTGTAATCCGCTCCTACCTGGGATCGCGCGCAATCTCGATTGCCGATCTAAATTATCTCGCTAATTTTGCCCGGTATCGATTGTACACAAATCGGGATTTCTCTTATCCTCCAGGGTATCTTAATTGCGCATCGAACTCGGACGCGGCTGTTTCCTCGGAAATGGAGCACGAAATCAGACCTTTTTAACCTTTCGTTATTTAAGAACATGACAGATAATTAATTAAGGGATAACGATGGCCATTGAAAGGTTCCCCGGTGGCATTATAATGACATCCTATGATATAATGATATTTGTCTCCCCCCGTTGTTCGGAAGAGATTCGTTCGCGTCCCTCGCTTATGACTATTACGAAAATATCGGAAGTATTCGAAATTGGCTTCCATTATTTTCTAGCACTTTCTCTCGCGAATACGACCAATCTGGAAATTGTTATCCATATTATTATTACATTTATCGCGATATTCGCACGTATTTCCGTTATGAGTCAAAATCAATTTACCTTTTCCATTTGAAAAACGTCAAGTTCTCCATTTATATGCGATAAAACCGAGCCGAGACCACAGTCCATTTATGTAAAATGAGAAAATAAAGTGCGAGTCTCGCGTAAAAAAATTACAAAAACAGAATTACGTCTGCATTATTATCGTGAATCGATACAATGTCGATTCGACGAGCTGGTTTATTCTATTCGGCTTCGACATATTTGAGAGCTATATTTCATTCGACAATACAAAACACAGCGAATTTCTAATATGGGACACTCTGAGAAGAAAAATCTATATACTAAAAATGAGTTATTTTAACTTTCGATCATTTTAAATAAGAAACTGCTTATATATACCAATACGTTTGTACATGTTGATTATACAAATTATTGATACTTTATTGAATATTTTGTAAATAAATCAAATTTTTTCCTTGGAAAGAGACATCTCGATAAACTTGTTATGGATACATTTTTCATATCATGTTATTTTAAAATGGATTTTCTTTATCGTTGCTGATAGACAATCAAAACTTTCTAAACGATTCGACCCTTGCAAGTAACCCTTGACGGTGCACTCTCGTGTTGTCTCCTTCAACGATTTTGGAAATTAATCGCGTTCCTCGGACCTCAAACCACGTAAATCGGCTTACGTACGTCCGGAATTTCTGCGGCCGCGCGTATCTCACGCTCCTGCGTGATCAACACCAACTATGCTCTCAACACGGCGTTAAGTGTTGGTGTAAATGTGTGTTAGTGCGTGTGTGTTTGCACGGACGTACAATGTACGGTGTATGTACGGGCGGACGCCGCTGTACTTCGGAAGCTTTTAGTCGTTTCATACCGATTCGCAGCTTAATTACATGGAGGAGAGCCGTTCAGATGAAACTCAACCAAGGCGAAACTGTGTGCGCGAAACTGCCCGAATATCCTATTCGACGTTAATGATGCTACTGACCCGCAAGCCCGCCCCTCTGCCGGTCCACTATCGTATTGCCGAGCTCCAATCCCCCAGTCACAAATTACAGGACGAAACTAGGTACGTGCTCGGCCTTTCTCAAGATCCATAAGGAGTCTTGGAATTACGAGGAGAAGAAGAAGCTCCGGGAATTACAGGACGCGCTCGCGTAATCACGACGAATGAACATTAACGAATTGGGAAATGCGCGTGGACGAGTACTTCTCGTAAGCCGGTGGGAGTTTTCCAAGGGTGATCCTGGGGCGCGCGCGTGCGCGCCCGCCTTCAATTAGAAGTCGCGGGTCTCTTCCGTAACTCGATCAATTTCAAGTTGCTTGACACCTATTATTTACGACAAAGACCGGCAAACTCGATGAAGCTCATGCTTGTAGCAACTACACTCGAAATATATAGCGTTTCAGCTTATAGCAACCATATATCGAGTATATAGCGTATCGGCATTGAAGCCCGATATATCGAGGATGAAGAGCGAGTCGGTAAACTGGCCTTCAATTTTTGGCGCTACCACCAAACACGATCGCCCCCGATCGATCGGCGCTCATTCTCCCACCGTAAATTGAATTCCACGGATTACGTATATTGTTCGATGGAAATCCGTACGTGATACGCGATAAATCCTGCGGCCAGACCGAAAACATAGTAAATATTCGGGCATATCGATTCTCTGTATCGATTGTATCGACTGTATCGATGATAGGTGGGAAGAGCACGCGCGCTGGGTCATTTTGCGTCTCGAGGCCGTCTCGAGACCACGAAAGCGTGATATATCGAGCTGGCGATCGGTCGGCCGGTGTAATGGTCCGTTCGTGTGCAGGTGTTCTCGATGATGTCACGTAGGCCGGACAGCAAAGCGACCCCGACCACCGTCGCAGTGGCGACAGCGTGGGCGCCGCGCGGCGGTCGGACCGCCGGCTATGTCGGTTTGCATGCAAAACAAGAGCCTTTATCCTGACCGCAATTAATGAAAGACTCTGCACTTAGCGGACGTTAAATGCCGACATTGCGCGCGCGCGCGCGCACGCTCGTTTTGATAGTCGGATAGCGCGCAACGACGGTCTCATTAAAAGCGGTTTTAATCAAAACACCATATAGCGACGCGGATAAGAGGCTTTGCTTCTGCCATTTGTTACGCAAAACTACAATGTCCTGGTCGCACTCTGTATTTCTATTGTAATTTTAATGCGATCGTTCACATTCGCGCCGTACACGCGAAAATAAGATCCGTGTATCTTTTATGTCGTTAATTAACTACCCTGTTTCGTGTATCGTTATACAACTTCGTTTCGTGCATTGCGCTATGCGGGCTATAAATATGTTTATTAAATTAATAGCTTCCGTAAACTTTAGCGGAATTACATTGTAGGATAATATCGCTACCCGATATTTAGATACCGACAGGCATGCTCGAATCAGCTAACAATGTAACAGAAAATTCGATATTTCAGAAATTCCAGTATCCGAATATTTTGGATCAAAACTCCCGCATTTCGAATCTAGTCCAAGTATCCGATTTGCACGATTCGAGCTGATATTTACTTACAAGGGCTGTTTGAATGCTCGATCGAGACGCT